GAAAACATACATTTTAATTACAAAGAACTACTTTAACATTGGCATTTTAATTCTTTGAAAAGTAACTTAAAAGCAAAGAAAACAAAACAATACCACAAACAGAACAAAACAAAAAAAAACACCCCCCCACACACACATGCACACGCACAAGGAATCCCACTGGAACTTTGCAAAAAATAAAAATAATTTGAAACCATTCCTGGCCACAAGATTTTTAAAAAATAAACTTCTTGTCAGCTTTTTCTTGATAAAGTCTCTTGAATAATATACAAACATAATTGGAAAAAATAAATGTCCTAATTAGAGCACCAATTAAGATAAGTTTACTTTTGTAATAAGTATGTACCCTGTACATCTGGTAACACAGGTAAGGGCTTTTTCCAAAAGGTAAGAGTGCACCTGGATCGCTTAGAGGAGGGCTACCGGGTAAGTGGCAGGGGGAAAGCAAGCGAGAGAGAGCACAACCACACGTATTGTTGATAAAGAGCGGGGGGCGGGCAGGGGAAGCAACAACAACTTATTTAAAGAATATTAATAATTTACAGCACATGCTAGAAAGACCATGACTCACACACAAGGAAGAAAGAAAGATACTGTGAGGGGAAAAGGAAAAGGAAAATTCACTGTAACAGGCATCCAAAAGTCAAGAACATGGTTCCAAATACATTGCTCTTTTCAAAGTCAGCGTTTTACCTCTGTTTAGCATTTTATCATAGTCATAGTCCAAATAAGCAGATGACTAAGTAAATCAAAGTTGTAGGAATACAGCAATATTATAATTACTTCCTTTCATTTTTCCATTTATTACCAGGTTTTCTCTGAAACATGTAACATGCCTTATGTAATAAATTACTGGAGCAATAGGAAAATAAACTACTGCTTTATTCTAAAAGCATGCTAGTACTTTTAACCAGAGCTTCATTTAATTTAACTAGTATCACCATACATATTTTTACATTTTCTGAATTTTCAATAACTATTGCAAGGGGAAAAGGCATTAGTTGATGTGATATTCATTTAACTAACAAGAAAGAAATATTTATATTAAAAAGCTGCAGCTGCATAAATCTTGAATAAAAACTTTGTGCACAAGACCTTGTCCAGTTCTCAGTACTGAAGTCCACCAACTAAAAATAAACATGAAATAAAGAGGAAGTACTTTTTTTATGCCTGTTGGAGTTAATTTCTTTATTATACCACTGTGAACTTACAATAAAATTTCCCTGATCATCATAAATGTGAATCTCTCCATTTGCCATTCCAAAGAGTAAAACTTTGCTATCAGAGGACCAGGCCACGTGGCACAGGTGGGTACCTTTCAAGTCTTTCCCCCAAATGCGATTGCCTGTAACAGAACATTGATTGTACTTTAATAAACATACTACAAAATTAAAAATAGGATGTAAGTTACCAATGTAAAAACTGGAACAGCTAAAGAAAGTCAAAGCAACAATTAGAAAATAACAATTAATTGTATTTATCTAGAGAAAACAGAGCCACTACGTACATAATACTGAAAACAAACCTATGTAATACAGTTAGTAGAGCTTAAATTTTACCATCCACTGATCCAACAATCACAGCTCCATCTTCATATACAATACAAATCTTTTGTCCATCAGCATTCCAGCTCATACTTCGAACAACAGATTTATTTCTATTGTTAATCATCTCTTCATACCAAGCACCTATTAGCAGCAAATGAAAAACTGAGTTATACTTGATAATCCTCTAGCAGATTTGAGGTACATGCTAATCACTGAATTCAAAGAGTAAAATTGCTCTCAATTAAAAAGATATGCAAATAGGATGATAATAACATTTCTTAGTAATATGAATTCCTCAAGTTGTTAAAAAAACCCCAAATATAGCATAATAAAGGCACAATAAAAGTTTATAAAAGTTACCAAGCAATCAAATTAGGTGTTCAATGAAATGGAGAAACCTGAGCATGGTCTGCTTATAAGTAAACATTAGATAGTAAGTCACAGATGACTCTGCAATGTAATATACAACAAAAAGATACAGAAGCAGAAAGGAATTAAAGACAAAGTTGTGCTGCCCTTCCTGTAAAACTCTGTAAAACTCTAGCAAGACTACGCTATAGTGTCCCCCAGACCACACAGACATAATAATTGTGAAACCCAGTGTTCATATATGTGCTAATTATTTACAAAAAGAACCTGACAAATGAGGAATCAGAGAGAAAAGCAAAAGTCTGAGAGGGACCCTACAGGAAGAGATCTGTGTTTACATGATTTCAGAATTTAGAAGAATACACTAGGAAACATAAATAGAGGGAATAATACATGTTCCTATCAAAGAAGGTTGAGTAATTTACTGATTCTTTTCCAAAACTAAGAGATTATTTATGTGACAGAAGCCACCACATATCAGGCTGAAAGAATAACCAAGTGATATTCTTTATTCCTGAAATGAGAAGCTGAGCTTAGATTTTATTACTTTCCATTTTTCATTAAACAAAAATCCTCAAGAGAAAAAAAAAAACATTTATCTTCTTTTTCTTTCCCACATGTGTTGGCAAATGGTTAATTTGACTGAGAGGTTTGCTGGCTTTCAAATTAATTCAAGTGTACCAAAGAAGAGCATGTATGCGCGAAAAGGTCAAGAAGAATAAAAGCCAATTACAGCAATACACTGGTTAGTCATATTAGTTCACTGCCTCAATTAAATATTTCTAAGGATTGTTTTTATAACAGTATTTTATTGATGTTCTAAGTAGGGTTGTTCAGTTCTACCAATAAGTCTGCACTTTATGCACTTTGCAGAACTATTTAAATATTACAATGACACCCAAAACAGAACTCACACAAAGAAACCTGCTTCTTTTTGTTGTTCAATATACTGTTTTGCTCCAAGGGACTAAAGTAACAGACGTAAGAACATAAGAAATCTAGAGCAGTTTACCAAGCATGTGGCTGAGGACTGGTATCTTCTCCTAAGGTAGCTCTGCAGGATAAATGCCTTTTTACATGTAACTACACTATGAAAAATTTAGATAAATATTAAAATAAAAACTTGTAAATGTTTTAAATCTATTTTGAGCTTTACAATCTGCAAAATAAAAAGTCTGAAAAAGAATTGTTACAATTGCTTAAAAAAAAAAAAAAAGATTTCTCACAACATGGAATATGATCCCGCCTCAAATTTGTCCTGTAGAATACCTTTATACAGCAGCCACACAATGATGAGTCCATTTTGATCACTGGTAGTCAGTTTTTGATACCGTTCATTCCATGTCACCACTTGCACAGAACCTAGAAAATTATACAAATTTTGTATTGATACCACTTAAGTAAGTTAATAAAACCCACTACTCCCAACTTAATCAACCTGGAGCTTTTCAGAAATTTGCACTGCTGACTTTGATTTATTTTCAGGCATTCTTTCTGTATCACTCGTTTCCTCTTTCAAAATTCTGCTAAATGTCTCCTCTTGCTTCTGTATTCACGCACTTGAGTAACATCCTCTCCAAGTTCTGCTCAGAATATTGCTTCAGTACACAAAACCCAAATCATAGTTTTGCGGTTTCTGACCACCTCTGACGTGTTGGTCTGGGAAGCTGACGAAACGTTACTGTCATAAGTTGTTTTGTTTTTTCCTTCATCTTAGTAGTTTGATCCTCCAGTGCTGCACTTTTAAAATAAAGTCTCTCTCACGATTACCAAGAAGAGCACTCTACACATAATTCCTTCAGACACTCACGTATCATATGGGATCCTACTCATAAATTTTTGACTTGACTTGAAATATCTTCAAATCATTCTAAGCAGCATCTTCTCTCATCAGTTCAACACTGGATATGAACTTGGTCACTTCAAGCCTCACACTCTTACATGCCCTCATCACTAGTCATTCATTTCCTCTGTATCCTTTCCATTTTTCAGCATTTCTGACATGAACTTTATCAACAGGTGCAGTCAAAGATACCCTGACTGTTGAAGGTTTTTGAAGACAACAAACAGTAATCCATTTCAGAACTGAAGACGTCCATTCAAAATATGCACTAAATCAATTCCCCACAATCATATTTTTAAATCATATTTAACCAGGTCCCTAAAATAACCTAACCGCTGGCAGGTTTCAACTCCAAATCTTCATAAAAAGACCATTTCTTCAAATAACAGAAGGATTTTAGCATTCTCATCATGTCCTATTGTCCATGCATTATGACGATGTAACATTTCTCACATGAGAGTTTAACTCCCCTCATCTAATTTTCCTGCATTCAATTTCTACTTTCACACACTATCCTTCTCTATCCTTTTTTCTAACCTCTCTAAACTTTGTCTACATACATACACATTCTGTAATTTGTCAATAAAAGGAAAATTAAGATATGTTTAAGACAGAGATCAATTTTACAGAACTTCAGTTTCTGCAAGAGAAAATGTAAAGCTACCATAACATACAAGCAAATCTCAGAGACTCTATCAAAAAAACCAGGCTTATCCACATGTGTCACTAGAAGAAATGCTTAAGGCAGTTTTTAGTCTCATTTATCATTTTAGCGTATCATACAGAGTTTAAAACTTTATAGATACAGTGTAAGATAAAATTGTGGTTTTTTTCCTAAAAACACAGTAGAACATAATTGTTTCCTTAAGTCAGCAATTCCAGCATCAACTGCCCATCAATTTAGCTTTTATTTTCTGTCATAAAGCATTCTTTATCTGTCATCTACCAAGGCAGTATGTGAACAAATGTATGGGATCTTTTATGTAAATACCTAAAAATACATTCCAGTCCCATGTAAGTGATTAGCACTTTCAGATTAACGACGCTGAAGTCAGAGACAACAAGTACTATACCAGTAGCACTGCATGATTCAGGAAAAAAAAAAAAAAAGTCCCTCTGTAATATAACACATATAATAATAGCACCATCCACTTAAATATAAATTAATACTTCCTTCTCAGGGTAATTAAATTTGTAAAAAGCAAAGTCTGAGGTAATACAAAACACAAATTAGGCTGTAATGTCAAAATTCACAGACTTGACCTTGTAAAATCCATAAGCAAACTTTAAATCATAGCAGGCAGAGCAGAGATTGGTTTGTGCGGCACGCATTCTGCATCACACATACCATATCAGCCGGGAGAACTGAGGTAAGGCTAGATCAGACTGATTCCCACTCAGATCATGAAAGATTGACTGTAGGTCTTTCAACAGATAGCTCAGTAAAAATAGATAGCCAAGCTGTTACATACCTGAGTTGAATACTCATAATCTTTATTTCAGGCTTATAATAAAAAGTTATTGCAAATTACTCCTATAAATTTCACAAAATCTTGTATTTTATCTAATCAAAAGTACATTAAATGCCCAAAGACACTTACCACTATGACCTTCAAGAGTTTGATTCACAGAAAGATTGCTAGGAGCCGCAAGTCCCTTTATTTTTGCTTCATCTAAAAATAACAAAAATAACCATAAAATGAACCTAATAAACCATATATATTACTGTGTCTCTAGCAATATTGCAGCTCTCATCACTATTTACGTAGATGAAATTGTTCACCTGAAAGTATGTAAATTGTAACTGCAGGATGAACTTTCCACCCCTCAATTCAATGTGTTTGTTATTCACATCTCTCATCCCAATTCATGTACTCTTTATGGCCTAGCAATTTTTCAGGAAGAATAAACAACAAAACAAACAAAAAACCCACAACAACAACAAAAACCATGGCTATCACATTTCCTTACAATCAGAAAAAGGTTTAAAAGAATTTGAAAATATCTTAGATTTCACTTTTCTTGGCCGATATTTATTAAAAAAAAAACACCACACAGCTTTGTCCCTAAAATAAGGAAGATGGTAAAGAACATTCAGACAAAATCGAGAAATAATGAAATAAGTTCCAAAATAAACTGGAAGCCTATAATAAAAGAAAAAGAATGAAACGTATGCCTTGAAAAAAAGAAGCACTGAAAAAAAATTCATCAGGTGCAACAGGCAGACAAATTACATGTGCACCATGCAAGACAAACTGAGGGAAAACAGTATTCAAAAGAAAGTGACAGCACATCCAGTGTTTATGCAAATACATGACTGCCTATGTACAGATTTAAAACTTATGCAATATTGTCAACTAACTTGTGGAAGGAGTTATGCTTTAAGAATTCTGAAGAGTGTCAGGTTTTGTCAAAAAAAAAAAAAAAAAAAAAAAAAAAGGCTCATTTACCTGTCTGTGTTTCTAATTTTAAAACCTTCAGTAATCCATCCTCTCCACCACAGGCTATGAAACCTTGATCCTTATTCCAGGAAATACATCTTAATCGAACATTACCAGGAATTGCAATCTGAAAAAGAAATATTTTGTATCTCTACACAGTTCTAAGAATCATGTTTCATTTTAAAATACTCTATTTGAACGCCTCAAAGACACCTGTGATTGTGCACAAGGTAAAATTATTTTTATCAACAGATCGGTACACGCAAAAAGAGACAGAAGACAACCAGAATTACAAGAACTAGTGAACACTGCACAAAAGGGAAATCTAACATACGCAGTAAATAACAATAAGACATCTTCAAAGGTGTGCAGAGAAGCACCACGAGCAAGAAAAGAGGTGAGCGGGATCACACAGTGCACAGGGCTTTGCCACGGGCTGCTCTCCAGCTGAGCTATGTCCACACTCTCCTGAAGGAGCAGCTCCTCAGGGGACAGCTCAAGACCAAAGAAACCCCAAGCCCCAAGCCCAGGCCCAGGCGGAGCAGGCAGGGCTGCGCACTGGGAAGGGACCAAACCCACGACCCCACCGCAGCGGCCGCAGGCAGCGGGAGGGAGCCCCGCAGGTCCCCTCA